TGTGTGTGTGTGTGTGTGTGTTTGTACTGTTTCTTAACTTAGGCAGTCAAAGAAAATGTTTCAGGCTATTTATCTGGGCAGTAAGTGTATATTTGCTCTGAAAAAAACATATGCAAATTAACAATAACACATACAAAAAAAAATTCCTCTGCTCTCCCAAAAGTCACTGTTATCTTGCTGGATGGGTAGATGAACACTGCCTTGTTTTGACAGACATAATGTCATAGTTTTACAGCAACATTAAGGTCATTTAAACAACATTTTCCTTGACTGCCAGAGACAGATTGACTGTATAGCTCCAGTATAGTATCTCTCTCTCCCTCTCTCTCATTCTATCGTTCTCTCTCCCTCTCTCTCGGTCCCTTTCTCTTTCTATCTGTCTCTTTCGCTCCCCCCTGTCTCTCTCTCTCTCTCGCTCCCCCCTGTTCTCTCTCTCTCTCTCTCTCTCTCTCTCTCTATATATATATATATATATATATATATATATATATATATATATATATATATTCCCCCCCAGGTCCAGTGGGAATACTGGACCTTATAAAGCTGAACTGTGCTGTAGGAGTCACCTCACCAGATGCTCTTTCCCCTTCCAGCCAGCCATGCTTCTGTACGGCCGCACTTTTTCTCAATCGCCTCCCCCAACAGTACAACAGCAGCAGCCCCGGCGGGATTACGAGCAGCGAGCTGCGGTGAGCTTTGCTGTCCGTCACCGGGAGCAGGGGAAAGGCGGCGGTTACATGCCGGGGGCCCGCCTCTTGGTAACCGAGACGAGCTGTGAGTACGGAGGAGAGGCAGAGACGTGACTGGAGCCCAAGGCAGCACTGATGGCAGCCTGATGGTGGCCATTAGAAGGTCCGACCCCAAGTCCCTCTGAGGTTTACAGTGCAGGTTAAATAGGCCAGGCTGCCGGCATCTCCCCGTGCTCCTCTGAACCCCCCTGACCTGCCGCCTTTACACGCCAGGGCCGCAGACCCATCCCGCTGCCACGGGGCCCAGATGAAGCTGAGGGCCCCCCTGAGCCCGTCTCCCTGGCGACCGCCTTCGGCTGGACCAATGGCCCGTGTTTAATCTCGGCCTCCCGACTATGCAAGCTGCCCATGGCACCCTCTCTCTCCTCATTCTCTCTCCCTCCATCTCTCTCCATAGCTTTTCCCTCCTCTTTCTCTCTCTCTACACTCTATGTCTTTCTTCCAACCTCCCGATCTCATTCTCTTCCCCCTCTTAATACCCCTCATCCTCCTCTCTACCTCTTCCTCTCTCTGCTCTACCTTTTTTCCTTTCTTTGTCCTTCTCTCCCTTCCTATGTTTCTCTCTCATCTTTTTCTCTTTTCCTCTCCACTTTTCTCTCATTCCCCCCTCTATACACCTCTTCCTCCTCTCTGCATCTTCTTCCCTCTCTCCTTCCTACCTCTCCCCTACCTTTCTTCCTGCTTTTTTTCCCTCCCCCCTTCCTTACCGTTCTCTCTCCTCCTGTTTTTCTTTCTCCTCTCATTATTTCCTGTCCACTTCTTCCTCTCCCCCTTTCCTTCTCGCTGTCTTTCACCTGCTCTGCCCCCACTTCCTGCCCCCATCAGCCCCCCCCCCCCAATCCCTCAGCTTTTACCCATTATTCATAGTTTTTTACACCCTACCCCCCATCCCCATGAGACAACCTCCTTTTACAGATCGATACCCTCAAAGCTGTTGAGGAACATCACATGGCCTCCATCCCGCATCCCATAACAAGGATAACGACCTGCAGGAGGGTCCGGTGACACATCGCATGATGACAGGAAGATCACCGGGTACCGTTTCAAACGCCGTGAAATTAACACTCGCGCTAAATCACGCTGCCTGCCTCATCTTGGGTAAACGGCCTGAGCGTCGGTCTCCACTTTAATTGTAAAGATGTAAACGGCTTTAATTAGCCGCCTGTAACCTTGATGGCCCCCCTGGGGGAGTGGATATATAGTGATGTAAAAGAGAGTGAAACAGAATGAATCCACAGCCTTGGAAGATGCCAGGGAAGCGACTCAAACAGCTGAAATTAAAACGCTATCAGAGCTTTTCCATAGGCAATGTGGCCGCCATGATTGCGCTGCCACAGGCTTCTTTCAAGATGTGGGTCGTAAATAATAATAGGCAGCCCCATCCAAAACTGAATAAAGGGAATCCAGCTTCCTCCAATCAGGTCTGAGGCTGAGAATTCCATGCCTCCTGTCCAATCAGGTTTGAGGCTGGGTCCATGAGAATCCCCGTCCCTCCTGTTGAGCCAATCAGCTGCCCCGAAGCTGTGGGGAGCACACTGACCTGTGCTGCTCTGGATGGTCCTGACGGTGGTGGCGGTCCGGGGCGGGGAGACGGCCCGGCAGGGGGTGCAGGCACCGTCCCCTTCCGGCGAGCAGCCCTGGTCGATGGCTCGCACATAGCTGTGGCTGCGCATGCGGAATTGGCCCGGCAGCGGCAGGTCTAGTGCGTCCACAGCTTGTGACTCCAGCTCGCTGAACACTGACTCGCACACGGACTCGAACTGCCCGTTCACCTCCACCTCGCTCACCTGCAGGGGGCAGCAGAGCGGCGTAGTGAGGGATGGCACCGAGAAAAGCCCTTGAGCTCACCAAAGAATACAGGGGAAAAACACATTCGGGCCCTTATTTATGAAAGGAAAAACAGACAGAAAACATATTTATAAAATTCACACAGATAATAAATCTCCCAGTGCTTTGTGAGCAAATAGACTCTTGGATTCTTCACATCTGTTGTGACAGCGGAGCCTTTTATGTTTGATTTTCACAAATCAAAACGTATTTCATGATCTCAGACATGTGGGACATGGAGGTCTCTGTTGTTCCGGAGATTTCAGGAGTCTGGTGTGAGGGACCTACAGGTTTCCACCTGGATCTCCAAATGAGACGATTCCCTACACAAATAATCGCCTTGGCAACATGGAGAGGTACTAGATCCCATTCCGAGTTTCACCATCCCAATTAAAGCAAGGAAACAAATTCATTGATCGATTTTGAATTCCACCCACCCTGTTCACCCTGTAATCTGCAATCAGCAGCAGTGATAGAGGAGGCTTTGCAGATTTCAAATGGGCAGATCTGTGTATCAGCTCTATTTTTCTTAATCACTTCCCTTTAATAGACATGCCGAGATTAAAAAAACAGGTGAAAGGGAGTGATGTAATCTCGATTGGCTGTCAAGGTTATGTCAACCTCTCACTGATCGGCTTTTGAATTAAGCGTTGACTTGAGGAAGCACAAACATTGAATGTACATAAATATCGACAATCGTGATAGCAATGTAAAAGAAAAACAGTGTTAAGCTACAGCATTTCAATATGTTTAGTCAAAACTGTGCGTCTCAAGTGGGTCACAGGTAATGGTTGACAGGAAGTGCTTCACAGGAAGTGAGGCGATGATGTCAAATGCGGTATCTGGCATGATCTGGGTACATGAGAACGCTGAGACATCCGATCCCCACCCTGCCCAAGTGCGAGGGGCTCATACATGGGGTAGGGGTGGGGTAATTTAGGAAGGCAAATGAGACTTTGGAGAGGTGAGGGGTTCGAGTGACAGACTGAGGCTGTCATACTAGCCTGTAGGACTTGGGAAAATAGGCATAAACTTCTAGATCTCTATCAGTCGAACTTCATGCGATGAAAACGTGTTGGGGATGCCAGATCACGCAAGCAGGGCCTACAGTGACCTCAGAGGTTCTGAGATGTTCTGCAACCGTGTTTCCAAACAGCTGCGACACGTTTAAAGATTACAGAGCAGCCAGCACTGAGATCAGAGACGCCGGTGAAAGGCAGGTAGGGGTATGCAGTCTCATGCAGGCCATTTGCATGGTGGGGGCCCCTTTAACAGCTGGGATGATTTTCAGACGGCTGTCAAATCCTCAGTGGGTTAAAGTGTAATGCAACAGCCAGGCTAGATTCGCTCTCCTCACACGAAAAGTTGTGGCTACACAGCCTCACAGCATTGCCAGGCTACCATTACCCTCTCATAAACGCCAATTATCGCTCCTTCCCAGCCGGCTGAAGCTCTACATTAATGAGTAAATTTGGAATATATCTCGGGCTGTCAGCAGAATCAGAGGCGCCTGACATTTTGGGAAAAAAAAAAAAAAAACACACATGAAAATTTCAGAATCTTCTCTCGACGGACAGGATCCTATTGTAATCTGGAAATGCTTAATTAAGTGTGTCATTCAGTGTGTAACCAAAGTGGACAGAGCAGACAGTGATGTGGACATGTATATAAAGGATGGGGGGGGGGGGGGTGTCTTGCCTAATTAGCATCATGAACTTAATCCAGGACACTCAGCAAATGGCGGGCATCGCCAAGAAGCTGTCGGTGCAATTTAACAGCGCATTTCATTCCTGACAGATGGGTCCCTACTGCAGGAGTTCCTCCCATCCACTGGGGGGCGCCACCCACCTGGCTGATGGTGCTCATGGCCCGCATGTAGCTCTCATTGCGCGAGCGGAATTTGGGCGAGGCCAGCAGCGACGTGGGGTCCAGGCTGTCCAGGCTTCTGTTGATGGAGACCTCGCTGACCGCCCGCAGGTAGCTGTGACTGCGGATCTGCAGCTTGGGCGAGTGCTCCGTGGAGATCCTGCACAGCATGGCCAACCATGAGTGGACCCCCAACGATTGGCAAGGGAGGGGACAGGTGCTTGGCGGGGACCACAGGACATATAGCAGTGCAATAAAAGACACAACAGTGCAGTATAGCAGTAAGTGGACAATAAACCAGTAATAAGTTGGGGACGCAGTGAGCATAGTGTGTGCAACAGTCACAGAGGGAATTAAGTACTGATAAGAAGTGGAATTTTAACAAATAAATATTATGTGCGAATAGGAATGAAGGGGACCTCCCAAGGACAGGGCGGTCTCTGCTCGGACGTCTGCACGCTGTGCCAACATCTCGACATCTGCGTGCCGACTGAAGCTCTCTGAGACCGAGCATCTCGCCTTCCCTGCCAGCCCTACCGTTCAGCTCGGATCGGCGACATTGTCTCCATCAAGGTCTGCCAGGAACCTGGGGGTAATGATAGATGACCAGCTATCCCTTGCTGACCACATAGCTGTCCGGTCTTGTAGAGTCACCTTGTATAACATCAGCAAGATCAGGCCTTATTTGTCAAAATATGCAGCTCAGGCTCCTGGTCCAGGCGCCTGTCATCCCATGACTAGACGACTGGGGCTCCTTAGTGACGGCGCTATCGGCTTGTGCTGTCAAACCGCTGCAGATGATTCAAAATACCAGCACGTCTGGGATTCAACCCCCTTGTCTCGCTTCACTGTCTCCCTATAGGAGCTCACATCAAGTTTAGGTCCTTGGTGCTGGCTTTCACAGCCTTTAATGGGATGACACCCATCTAGAAAACCTCGTATCTCACATCTCTCGTATCTGACATTTCAGCCCCCAGCTGCCTGTTCCAGTTCATCTTTGGTAATGACTGATCTACTCTGAATTCTTTCTTCTCTTGTCTATACATTGTCTACCCATATTACTCAAAACTACTTAAACTGCCATTTCAAAACAGATCACATATGATCGTGGCCAGATATCAGTGAAAGATTTCAGTTACTACCTTATTCAATGATAGAACCAAAGCTTTCCTTTAGGGATTCAAACCAATAACCTTCTCCCAGCCCAGCTCCTTACTGGTTACTCTGTTCATAGGCCGTGTGTAATACGCACATATGAGTAAATTATGAATAGTTTTATTGTGTCATCTTTCAGTTACTGCAGCAGAGCATCTGCTGGGGTGAGGAGAAGTTGCAGCAAAACAATAATGTTTTGAATTCTAAAAATTCTGCTTTTCAAGGACAGCTAAAACAAAAGGGTTAAAGGACAAAAAAGGAAGAGCAGAAAAACAGCAGCTGAGTGTCCTTAAAAGGAAGTAAACAGCCCTCCATTCCATTACTGATGATGAAAGAAATGACACTCAGGAATTGAGGGACGGGTGGAAAATCATCAGCATAAGGTGGTAATTTGTGACACTCCTCACCTTACCCCAGGCCCCCACTGGGGTAAATCACCACCGCATCCGCCCGCTGGGCCTTCTTATAGGTGCATTTAGCATGGGTGGCCACAGGCATCCATTAGCGATGCGGGGTGCATTTTGGCTTTTTACACTCGTCGCTCGGAGTTTCTTCCCGGTCCCTACGTAACCGTTTGGCATTCTGGGGGGAATAAGCCTGTCGGCTCCGGTGATGGCGGGCGGGTGACGAGCGTACGGATCGATGAGCGAAGCCGTCGTGCCACATGTCCGTTTGAGTGATTTTTGGCGTGCCACTCGACCCAGGGAGGGGACTTTTAGCCCCCCAGCCCCATGTCCCATCCAGTTCAATCATGCATGGCTCCCTTGAATACAGACAGGGGCCTGAATGCTGGAGAAAGCTTGATTACTCCCCCACCCCCCGGGGCGGAGTAGGATGCGTTACCCCAGCGCCACGGAAGAACAGCCATGCCCGCTTAGGCCCAAGAGTGGCTGACGGCCGCTGGGATGAACCAAGTCGGCTGGGGCTGTGGGGGTGGTCAGACCCAAGTACCTGTGAGCCTAAAAATAAACACTTAAAACTTCCTGAAAGGGCATTTCTGCACAGAAGCCTTTACAATCCCACTCCACGGAGAGATGAGTCGATAAAGGGGAGGTTTCCGCTCTCCCCTCTCCGCACGTTTGTCCTGTGCTCCCCCGCGTGGAGCTCCTCCTAAGATCAGACCCAGTTCGTGGGTCTTTTTTTATGGCTGCTTACTGCAAAACGGCTTATAGATTGACATGCGGCCGGGTTTCAGAGAGACACGGGCAAAACCTGTGACCCATTTCAGCCGAGATAAAGTGAGAAATAATGAGTCTGTGTGAACGCAGTCGGCTTATCTGTTGCATTCCTGTTCTGGGGGGGGGGGCTGCCCAGACGGAAGGGGGGCTCTGCTCTTGTGTTCCCAAGCAGAACGGTAATATAAAAAGCATGGGGGCTGGAACAAATCAATAACTATAATGATGATGTGCCACGGACGTGCCCCCTCCCCAGACCGCATCGTGCTTTGACTTTGTCCTGTTCGGTTTTGATGTGGTTCTTTTTTGGGGGGCGATGTTTTCGTTCGGTTTTTCAAAAAAACATAAAGCGGGAGACGTGTGTTATGCAGTCCTTCGGGGTTCTCTCTCGGGAGGTCATGCTGCCGGAATGCCTCACGTGTCGGAGTGATGGGATCGCTGGTAGCGAAAACCCCATTGTGGGTTGGT